AGGGGGCGCGGCGCTCCGCGGCCAGCCTGCCGCGCACCGCCCTCTTCCTCCCGAGCCTTCGCGGTGGCGCTCCGGTCGCTGTCAAGCCGCGCCTCCTTCACCTCCTCCTCCTCCGCGCTGCCCTCCAGAGGCGGTGCCACTTCGAAGGGGTCGGGGGAGAGCGAGCGGGTCGTTTGGAGGAGCTGGGGGCCGCGGTGGGCTTCGGGGTGAGGACGAGGGGCGGAAAACGGTTGCCCGGGAAACGAGCTTTGAAGTCCGGCGACGGGTGGGGCGGCGGGGGTCTTCTGAGATGTTCGAAACCCCCTTCCTTAGCTCGGTTGGGCCCCGCTGCCTGCGTGGCGCCCTGCGGCCAAGAAAGTGAACAAGCCTCCACCTTTCTGCCTCCCTGTCCTGTAGACCGAGCTAGGCGACCTGGGAGTGGGGGGGGGGGGGGGGGTGCCTCCCCTCACCTGGTGTATCCCACCCCTGAGGATACATGCTTTGAGGGAGAGGGTGGCAAGAAGCCTCAATAACTCCCAGGCTGGCGTGCGTGAGAGCAGCGCGTTTCACAGTCTACACTAGGCTAGACGTAATCTCATGAAGTAGAGGTTGTCCCCGTGTTATAGATATAGTGGGACCCAGGAAGGTTAAGAAACTTGCCTAAGATTCCATAGCTGGCGAGAGGCAGAACTCTGACTCCAAAACCCTTATTTTCCACATGTTTTCCCCTGTTGCTTTGCAAATAAGGGCTGAAGGCTGTTTGGGTGAGAGACTGAGGCACTGAAGCCACTTAAATTTGACTTAGAGGCCTTGGACCCACCTGGTGTTTGAGTGAGCAGACACCTCACCCCAGAGAAAGACTCTCGGAGGTGTTGTCTCTTTTGCAGATAGGGAAGTTGAGGGCTCTGGCTGCCAACTCAGAAGCAGAGGATAACAATAAGTTACCATCTCTCTTTCTCCCTTTCTTTCTCTTTTTCTATTTTAAAGATGTGGAGTACAATTCACAGTTAGGTATACAAATGGTCATTATGTAGGTGAAGTTTGGGCCTCACTTTGGTCCCTGCTTCACCTGGTTTTAGATCGGGTACCCTTACTGATGAGATGTTATCATATTTCTTTCTTTTTTTTTTTAAGTTGGAGTCTCACTCTGTTGCCCAGACTGGCGATCCTTCCGCCTCAGCCTTCCGTAACTGGAACTACAGACACGCGCTACCACGCCCGGCTAATTTTTTGATTTATTGTAGAGATGATGTCTCGCCTACCTAAGGCGGGTCTCGAACCCGTAGGCTCAGGCAATCCACTCACCTCAGCCTCTCAAAGGCGCAGGATTACAGGCTGAGCCACCGAGCCCGGCTAATGTTACCATATTTCAAGAGTTTACTATATGCCAGTTACTGTATGCCATGAAGTGGGCATTGCTACGGTACCCATTTCACAGATGAGAAAACTGAGGCTCGGGAGTTGACGCTTGGTTGTGATCATACAGAGTCTACTCTCCTCACTTGACTTCCGGGACACCAGGTCCTCCCGATCTTCCTCACTTTGCTGGTCACTCCTCTGTCTCTTTTTTGGATTTTTCCTCTTCTCTGATTGTTGAAGGCCCCAGTCCATAATGCTCTTTTCTGTCTACACTCACTTTCTAGGAGTGATTTATAAATATCTGTATGCTGATGATGCCAAAATTTCCATCTCCAGCCCAGATCTCTTCCCCGATCTCTAGGCTCATATAATCAGCTGCCTCTTACTGGGATCTCAAGTGCAGCACATCCTGCCCCCAACAACCTGAATGGGCAGAGATACCTCACCCAGGAAAAAGACTCATGAAAGTGCTTACACTCACTCCCTTCCTTACCTCCCTCAGAGAGTGGTACCATTGTTCATCCAGTCCCCTAAAACCTAAAAGGTGCTGTTCACTTAAGACACCATTTCCAATTCCCCAGCAAACCTTGTCAGTGCTACCTTCAAAAAAAATCTAAGTTCAGCTAGACTCTGTGGCTCACAGCACTTTGGGAGGTCAAGGTAGAAGGATTGCTTGAGCCCAGCAGTTCAAGACTAGTCTAGGCAACATTGCAAGACCTCGTCTCCACAAGAATTTTAAAAATTAGCCAGGAATGGTAGCACATGCCTGTAATCCCAGCTACAAAGGAGGCTAAGGCGGGAGGAGCCTCACTGCAGCCTCCACCTCCTAAGCTCAGGTGATCCTTCTGCCTCAGCCTCCCTTGTAGCTGGGATTACAGGCACATGCCACCATGCCTGGCTAATTTTTTTACCACTGGCTGACACTGCTGTCACTATCCTAGACTGAGCCACCATCATCTTACCCTGGGCTATATGGTAGCCTACTAAGTGGTCACCCTGCTTCTACCTCCATGCCTCCTCCCCAGTCTATTCTCCATAGAACACCCAGGGAGATCTTTGTAAGCATAATTAGATCACATTGTTTTATTCAGAATCAAATTCAAATCCTGTCCAATCTAGTTCCTGTCTCCCTCCCCACCTACATCTGTCTCTGTCTACTGTACTGGACCTGCTTTAGCCACACTAGCCTTATGCTATTCTGTGGGGGGCCAGTCCCCACAGAGAGATTTAGAGGTTCCCTTGGAAGGTGTGGCAGCATCAGCGATTATTCTGGAGAAATAAAGAGGGGAGAAAGAAAAAGACTGGACTCCTGCCCAGGTGACCAGAAGTCGTTTAATGGGTGTAATCTTAGGGCTTTTATCCCCAAACTCTGCAAAGTCATCATCACAGGAAACAAAGGTAGCATGTGCCTTTCACATGAGCAGGTCCAGGTGAGCAAAGGACACCCCCCACTCTCAAGCAAATGTTCTTTCATACATAAGGAAGGACATGAGAAAGAACAACCACAAATTGTCTTTTTGTATCTTATGCTAGCTTAATGTTCCCCAAACCAGTTTCTTATGTGCCCTTAATTGTATTACAACTACATCATCTTGAATTAACATCACTCAATGTCTAAACCCAAAACCATCATAGTGAATTATTAACTTCCACTATTATGTACTAATTCAAACTAGTTTTTATTAAAACAATTGCTGCTATGGTTATACTCTCCTAGCACCAGCTGGCCTAATTCAAACTTCACTGGCCTCCCTTAAATCAAACTGAACTAACCATACTTCTATAATAAAATGG